GTGTGTGTGTGTGTGTGTGTGTGTGTGTGTGTGTGTGTGTGTGTGTCTTACCTTCAGGTCCCTGTGTACGATGCTGTTTTCGTGCAGGTAGCTGACAGCCTGCAGCACCTGTTTGATCACTGTGCTGGCGTCCTTCTCAGTGTAAACCCCCTTGTCTATAATGCGATCAAACAGCTCCCCGCCTGACACTCTATGCACACACACGCACACACAAAGGAAATCATCTATATTTTATTCGGGATCTTATTGCTACACCTTTGACCTGCCACGTGGACAAAGACTTCTGTTGGACAAAAAGGTTTTGTTGTAGGCCTGTAAAACCTCAGTTAAGGGAGATCCCACAGTTAAAGTGTGGAATAAGAAGGATTTTTCCAGTCTTGACTACAGGGGAAACCAAAAGGTGAAAACTGTATGTTAAGGGGTTTAACAAGCAGATGTCATTCTGTTGGTATATTTTTGGTGATAATGTTATGGCATTCATATATAAAAGAACACTTACAATGTATTGTTATTGTCAGATTTAATTCCACTCACTATGATACCTGTCAATATTTTGTTCCACCAAGGTAATACTTGATGATAATAATAAATCCACTTACAGTTGCATGACCAGGTAATAGTGCGTTCGACTCTCATAGAAATCCTCCAGTCCCACCACGTTCTCATGCTGTATCCTGAAATGGTAAGAGGTAGAGGCATCACTGTTGTCCTCAGTAGCAAATGTTGCATTTAGACAGATGCTAGATGTTATTCTCGACCCTGGGCCAGTTCTTCACACGTGTATGTACACGTATGAAAAACTGGGACCTCGTTAACTTCTGACTCAAAACAGATTGTTTATAGACAAAGGTAAGAAGGTGATACACATGCAATTCAATACATTTGAAGAGCAACACAGTGTTGACTTCATACAACAGGAACAGAAAAGTGCTGCTGCACTGCTCTTTGTGCACAATGGAACACAATGGAAATCACCTGTATGAATGTGTGTGCGTGTGAGTGTGTGTGTGTGTGTGTGTGTGTGTGTGTGTGTGTGTGTGTGTGTGAGTGTGAGTGTAAGTGTGTGTGTTTTACCTTCTCAGTACATTGATTTCATTTTCGAGGTTGCTATGAGCGAGGTGTTTTTTCTTCAGACACTTCAGGGCAGACAGTTTTCCTGTTGTCTTCTCTCTCACCATATACACCTCTGAAAAAGAACCCCTGCACAAAAACAGACAGGACAGAGATACAACCATTGAAGTGATGGTTAATGGAGTGCAATCAGTTTGTGGAAATGCTCAAAAATAGCAAACTGTAAAGGACACAATACTATTCCTTCATTAGAATTTAAGTTCAAAGTACTGGTTTTTGTTCTGGTTTAATATTCCTTTACATCAAGACATCAACAATTACCTGCAAATACTTTTTAAAAAACAATAATCCAGTCACCCTAGATGGGTGTACTATTAAACTTTACACCCTTGAAACAACTGTGGACCTCTTAAGTGGAAAGACAGTCGGGTCCCCAGACATGAGACGGGTCACTTGCTTTAGGGTCCCCAGATGTAAGATGCATCACTTCTGTTTATTTTCACTTTTCTAACTTTATTTGAAAACGTTCACCAAGTTCTATTACGTACGCTCTCGAAAGTACTTTGTATTGGTTTACCCCCTCGAGGCTAAACCTCGGCACACTGAGTGTTTATGCTTTATTTTGATTGGCATCATAAGCGCCCTGACTGCCATTTGGTTGAATACAGTTTTGCAGGAATGAGTCCTAAAGCCCAGAAATGAGTCAGCATTTTTGCACTTCTGGTTCCATCGTCTCAAAGTCAATGGGTTTTTTGAAATAAGGGATGTGGTTAAAACAAGTTTAAGAGATTTTAACGTTTTGTTCTTCATAAAATGCATCAGTAAATACCACTCTCATGAGTTTTGAATGGAGTGATAAGCTGATCTACTTTCTGAATGTGACAGTGCATGTATTCTCTTTCTCTTGAAATGGGACCCTATTATTTCCACACATCTCCACTCCTCCCCAAGTTTTCTTCACAACCCAGAAATTGCTTTCAGTACTGTCAATATTGGTGGTTTAGAATGAATAAGGAAGCTAAGACATCTTTTTTTACAGATGTATTTTGAAGGAAACAAGTGTATCCTGTCTTTAAGTATTATCCCTTTTAATGCAGAGACCACATAAAGTGTGCTCCATCCAGTCCCAGCCCAGAGACAAATGGAGGCTGGTCGGCCTTGGCTGGGTTTCAGCATGGCAGCTATTCTCGTTAAACTCACAGTCAGATGATAGCCAGGGTTTAATCCCTGATTTTGGCCACTGACTCAAGCATCTGTTCAGGTGATACAGCAGTTGTGACCTCAAACCCAATAAGGGAGACTTATAAACACGCCTTATGAATGCAGTGTTGCCATCATATTTTTTGTGCACTGTGTTCTGAATTAGGGTTCGACTCGATTGGCCTACGGATACTTGCCATTGATTGAAAGTTACATCCGAGTCTGTATTGTTAGAGCAGGATATTAGCCCTTACTGAATGGAGCATATTTCATTCGATACATATCGACGCAATTAAATCATCTGATCAACTTTCATAACCTAGTCTAGGAATGTCACTGGAGCCCATCATACCTTATAACTATTAATAGTCTTTAATTAGCCTTCAGTGGAGATGTTGACTTTCCTGTGAACATGCTGTTTCACACATTTTCTCCACCTTAAAAAAAACGAATCACTTGAGATTCACTAGAGATATTAAAAAATCTTTAATCTGAAAACTGAATGCACTGTTGCAAAGCGGTTTAAGTCCATCACTGATTGGTGTGCAGGGTAGCACGTTTTTGTTTCCTGTTGGCACAAACACACACCTGCTCCTGCTTACACCTCCTCCCTCATCCACCAATATAGTCAGTCAGACTCTTAAATCCTATAACGAAGTAGTGCTAGGATGTTCTAGCACTGCTGCTCTGACGTCAGTGCTCAAGAACTTCAGACACACACACACACACACACACACACACACACACACACACACACACACACACACACAGGAGACTAACTCATTCACAGCCAGTCGAGGGAGGAGGGCTTTAAGCAGCTTTGAGGCTGCAGGACAACTCTAAGGAAGCAACACCTGCAGTTAACTTAACAGCCATTTATTATTGGTCACTGTTCTGACAGGTGATGTGAAGCCAACCTGGTCTCGCTACATTTCTGGAATTGATGCAGATAAAGCAAATAACAGGACAGGAGAGAAATATAGTTTGCTTTAACCAGTGTCTTTGGAAGTTCTAGGGCACTCAATATTAGAGTGCACCAAATTCTTGTTTAGTCATGTTTACTTATTCATATTCTTTGATGAAATATGTTGTGATTTATATCATAATGGTAATGTTATGCTGTAATAAATGTGTTTAAAGTTGATGCTAAGTTGCTTGTGTTAAACGTTTTGATTGTTTTGTTAAAAGGGCAACCCAGCGATTGAGTATTGCTCTTTTATAAAGTTGCGGGACTTCAAAATTGATGAGGCAGAGGCAAAGATGACTTTTATCCCCTAGTGTGGGTCAGGCTCCAAAAATGTTGCATCCTATGTTTCCCATGATGCAGCTGGATTGTCTTTTGTTAGGCCCATCTGTGCCATATCAGCTGACATTATACACCTGTTTTCACTGGCTGATGTTTGCCCTGACTGGTAAACTGACTTTAACACACACAATGAGTGCAGTGACCCTTTAAATTGGAAAAAAAAGAGCTTTCTGGTAAAAACTAGGTTTTTACTCAGCAAACTAAGGTATAAGGTAAGCATAATTTGGTGTTAGTAGTGAGGGGCAGAGGTATCAAAACAGCTGTTTGGAGCTATAGCAGAATCAGGTATAGTGTTTCTTAAAATGTAAATAAGCTCTGATGGTTTGCAGGCACTCAACACAAAATGTCAATATTAACATTGCACCTGATTAATTTTAATGGAAGATGGAAGGGATTACCCTCAGCCCAGAGGTTAAAGTGAGCCTGGTAACTGGGAGACAGACGGCAGTACCTCCTTCCATCTGATTAGTCCAGAGACAGCCCTCTGAACTTGGGAAATTACTTACTGTAACTGTAAAACAGTAGCGGGAATCAGGCTGCTGGCTGCAACAAAGACGTGTGTCCCATCCTTGGATGAGGGTTCATTGTATTTACTCATAATACCCGCATGTTCCCTGTCTCCAACACAAAAGCTCAAAAGATGCTTTTGTGGATGTGAACTGTGCCTGATGTTTTCAGTAAGCAGAACATATTGTTCTGTATCTTCAGGATTTTCTGACCGACAACAATTCAATCCCACAAGCTGCTGAAGCAAGCCTACCTCCTGCCTGCCAGTTATCCTCACCAGTCCTGATTCCAATAAGGCTCCAGTAAATGGCATCCTAGTGTGACACATCAATCTTCTGTGATTTACAAACTGTTGTCAAATAGCAGTTTGGTGTGTCTTGGTGCACGTAGACAGATGACTATCCCACCCACCCAAACCATGACATGTGGAAAAACAACCATATCGGCTGCAGGTTTCCATGCTTTTCCTCACGACTACAACTCATACTGTATCACCTGACCAAATGAGATTATTTTCAGCCAAGAAACATTTCGATCCTGAACATCCATATTAGCGAATTGACAGGCTTCTAAACTTTTTTTTGTGCAGCTTGGTCTAAAATTGTCTTAACTAGTTACCAAAAAGCATTGAACCTTGAATGAACCTTGACACTAGTCCATGTCTTCTAACACACATTTATTTCTCTTGTCTGTCTTTACTTTCACCATCAGCAGTACTTACGATCCCATTTTCCCCTTGAAGTCAAACACGTCCTTGATATTACTGGTGCTCTTCTTCCAGCTGCAGATGATCTCCTTCCGCCCCATCTTGGCTCTGACGTTGCCGTAGACTCCTGAAGAACAGACAACATCAATCATTTCTTATGGGTAAAACTAGGATTACCGCCTTGCGGTTGTGTGCCTCCGCCTCCGCCAACCAGTCAAGTTGCAGTTTACATTCATGTCTGTCGAAGATGTCATCACTTCATCATTTTATCCTCTTAGACATTTGAGACATTGTCATAATTAGAATATGAATTGTTGAGTTATAGCAAAAATGTGTTTTGTGAGGTCACAGTGACGTTCAACCACCAAATTCTAATCAGTTCATCCTTGAGCACAAGTGGACGTTTGGGTTCCTGAAATATCACGTTGATAAGAATGGGACGGACAGACAATCCCAAAACATAATGCCTCCATCCATCATCATGCATCAAGTGAAGACTGAAAATCCAATAGTGTTGAGGAATGATTTCGACTAGATCATTATCACATAAATATGTGTCTCTTTTCAACAGAGAAGACTACTGTGGACCCACTTTGACATGTCTCTGTCGCTCAAATATCAAAGTGCTAACTAAGCGTAACCTTCTCCACCTCTCATCTCATTCTGTGAATTGCAGCATCTTGGCTTACATAAACAGTTGCATGTCTATGACTGTGGTCATTGGCCGCTGGGTGAAGCCTATCAGTTACACAAGATTAGAAAGGTAAAAAGCAGTGGTGAGTTAATCTTCCCAACCCTCCCTCTTTCTCGTCTCCTGTGCTCATCCCATGTGTCTGCTGTGGGAACAGATTAGTGGCTGATTCCCTGACAGGACAAAAACTGGATCCTTTCATAATCCTGTTGCATGTCAGGATTAATGAACACTGGCCTTCCGATAATATTTGCTGAAACGCGCCAATATTTGTACATCCAAACATTGATATGCCAAATTATGAAAAGTTACACTCAGGAAATCATTGTCACATTTTTTTGATTAATTCTGATTATACAAAAATGTAAAATAGTACAATGCTATAACCACAGGATATTTCACATATTGTACTTTGACTGAATTCTGCATACTCCAGATGATGAATTAAATTATTATAAATCAATTAGAATTTTGTCAGAAAATAAATTAAGGTACAGACTTACAAGTCCAACTTGTATTCATCCTCTTTACAAAGTGAGGAACAGGAATGTATTGGTTTTCTTGTTTCTGCTCTAATTGTTACTAAAGGCTTGTCAGGAGCTTTACCGTTGAGCCATTATTTAGAAAATAACTAAGGCATAACATAAGCAATTTAAGTGGTTTGGATTAAAGGATACTAATCGTATTTAAGATAGCTTTGGCTGTTATTGTGCTTTAGTAATTTCAAAAGACAAACACCAAAACACACTACACTGCATAGAACCGTGTAAAGCGTGTCTAAACTTACAGTATGTTCATCAGCCAAAGTCAACAGTACGTTCCAAATGATTCATGTGAGTGATAACGTTAGCTTTATGCTCCTGTTAAAATGTAATTTTCATAGATTTCTAAACGGAGTCTGTGATGAAAGTACAGCACGAGCGCAAATCCCTGTAGGCTAAACTAGTTTGGTGTCTCTGATTTTTACATTTGAATCTATTATACAACTCAGCATGTGAGCATAAGGCATGTTTCTCAACAAAAACGACTTATTTGTATCCATACAAGTTAAACATGTCAACAAAGTAACTTGTCCTAGTCCTAAAATAGTTGTAAAGCTGTTTTTACCTGAGGAGCGGTGTAGAGCTGGTAGAGCCGAGGTGTCCGCGTGAACCTGACTATGTCAGGCAGGCTGTGAGTCTTCACGCGCAGAGGGCGGGGCCTCGTCTATGAAGGCAAATCACTGTCAAAATCCGAGAGCGCAAATGAGATCCACGCGCGCGCGTATTTTACTTTAACGAGCGCTTTTACATCACTCCGCGAGCATAAGTCGCTCTCGCGGGAGCAAAAGTCGCTCCCGAAACTTGAGCCTGCTCGCTCGAGAAACTTCACCCTGCTCGCTCGCGAGTCTGTTACCTGCTCGCCCGCGAGCAGTTTTTCTTTTTGACAGTAAGTGGGCGGACCCAGTCGCCATTGTATCTCTACATCTAATTGGTTACAATCCTCGTCTTGGGATAAACCGGATATCACTCTGACACAGACGCTAGTTCTGATAGAGGTGGTTTTCAATCCGCCACTAAACACTACTCCACTACATCTCAAGATGTTCTACATTTGTCCGACAGGTTTTGTAAACTTTTCAGACTGTAGAGCCTGATGAAATACAAATGATGTTAATAGAGTTGCTAAATACAATAATTAAAAATGTGTTAAAGTCAAGTTGCTCAGATTGGTTTAAATTCACTCATCATTCTATTACAGACAATGTGTGTTTGATACTCAAACCTCTTGTGACAAACAGCTCAAGGAAACAATTTGATCTTAATTGATTAAAACATGATGTCATCATATTTAATCATAGTGTTGTGTTTACAGAAGAGATATAATATAGTTGTATATAATATGAGCAACAATTTGGACCTGCTCAAAGATCTGGAGCCAAGATTAGGGACCACTGTTTGTATATTAACTGTTAAATCACTGACAAGTAATTAGTGGATGAAAAAGTATTCAGATTCTTAACTGCAGTAAACGTACTAATACCATACTGATGAAACAATAATCCACTACGAGTAAAATACCTGCATTCAAAACCTTAGTCAATGTTATTATCAGCAAAATCTACTTTAAGTGCAGAAAGTAAAAGTACCCGTGCAGTAAAATGTACATTATTTGTCCCTGACCTGTAGTGCAATCTGAAAATCTCTCCCGAGCGTCTGTGTCAGAGTGATAGCCGTTCTATCCACTGGGTCCGCCCACTTACTGTCAAAAAGAAAATCTACTCGAGAGCGAGCAGGTAAAAGACTCGCGAGCGAGCAGGTTAAGGTTTCGCGAGCGAGCAGGTTTAAGCTTCGCGAGTGACTTTTGCTCGCGCGAGAGTGAATTCTGCTCGCGGAGTGATGTAAAAGCGCTCGCCAAAGTAAAATACTCACGCGACTGTTTGATTTTCGCGCGCGCATGGATCTCATTTGCGCTCTCGGATTTTGACAGTGATTTGCCTTCATACTCGTCCACTCACTTCCTCAGTCTCAGCAACAGCCCACATGCTACATTCAAAGACTGGTGGAAACGGCTTCATGCCAGTTACGAAGTTGTTCTCTTTTGTAAAACTTAAACACAATCTTAGCCATTGATTTTGTTCACAAAAGTTAATTTGTATTATTGATTCAGCAAATGGATTCGTATTTCACTGAATATATATTTTTCTGTCTTTTAACTGTGAGGGCATTTTTTTCGATTTACCGTAATTCACACTGATTCTCTTCTAGTTTTTCCTCATGTATTGGAAATCTGTGATAATATACTGTATATGACCCCATGTAGGCCTACATTGCATGTTTTGATCAAAATATGCAACTGATTTTAAAAAAAAGGTGGAAATTATGTTAGCTATGCGTTGTGAACTACTTGTTAAGTCTACAATAAAGAATATTCAAAATGATGACATCTCAACTAAGCTGACAGAGACAAAAGTGAAAGTAGTCAAATCAGTTAGCCGTGTTCGATCGGTGCTAGGCAATGGTAACATTGTAGCAGCTCCATCAACACTCACAATAACGTCATCTAGACGTAAATACAGCAGCGTCTATTCATTGTGAATTCGCCTCAATCGCGCCAAACGCGCAGCGCCATCGCAAATTCGCGTCACTCCAGTCTCATCGCGTCTGTGCATAGACTTTGTATGTAATCTACTCGCGCGAATAATTCGCGCCGCGTTTGGTGTGTGAACGCACCAGTGGGGCAGTACCAAAAAAAGGTCGATTAAAAGTCCTGCAATCAAAGTTTCACTTAAGTAAACAAACATTAGCAAGATAGGATATTGGTGATAATGGGGCCAATCTATTATATTCTATTCAATTCTAGGTATATGTTCTGCATACATTACTTACTGGAATATGATTTCCTGTTTGAGTTTTGACAAATTTGTTGCCATATTACAAAGGTTAATACTGTCGCGACCCTTGGTAAGGAAAGCTACGAGACGTTATCTGATTTATGGTGTTTTATTAGCGGACAGTACACAGGCTACTGTGGGCCGTAGCCTACGCCACACTACAGTCAATACCGTTAAAACGTTCTCCAACCAGCTTAACCATCTGCTCCCGGTAACTCTCAACAGGCTAGCTAGAGTATGGTCCCAATGTAATGTGGGGAAATGTTCCTCCTTGGATACTAACAGTTCACAATGTGGATTTAACACTCATAGAACAGAGGAAAAAATGGATGGAAAGAAACTTGTATAACATTGGACATCAGACTCAAATATACATGAACAATAATTATTATAACTATCTGCATATTTATACAGATGGATCTAAAGACAATGGGAATGGACACGTAGGATCAGGGGTATTCATACCAGAATTCAGTATGACCATATGCAAACGAATTAATGACAGACTGTCTGTCTTTACAGCTGAATTTATTGCAATAATCTTGGGACTGCAATGGGCCAGGCCTGAGAGAGTGGTCATCTGTTCAGATTCTGCTGCAGCTTTAAGCAGCCTAAAGTCAAAACAAACAATAAGAGAGGATTTAGTGATGGAAATATCTCTGATAATGTTGAGACTTCAAAGACTAGGAATAAATGTTCAATTTTGCTGGGTTCCTGCTCATGTAGGTGTGGAGGGCAATGAGAGAGCAGATATGACTGCAAAGAGAGCACTAATACTAAAAGAAGAGGAGATATTGAATAGTCCTTTTGGAAAGGGGGAAGCTAAAGCATTAATAAGAGAGGCAGTATGGGATTTATGGCAGAAGAAGTGGGACAACGACAACAAAGGAAGACATTTTTATAACATTCAGAAATCCATAAATGTGAAGACATACAAAGGGAAGTATAGAAGAGAGGAGGTCATAATATCAAGGTTAAGATTCGGACATACAGGACTTAACTCAACTCTGTATTTAATTGCAAAAAAGGACAGATAAGTGCACTATTTGTAATGTTACTAAAGACGTGGAGCATATTTATCCTGAAATGTCGAAGATACAATTCAGACAGGTACATCTTGAAACAAAAAAATTGTCAGTTGGGACGGAGGTGGATTTTGGAGGGAGTTCTGGCAGCGGATGAAGAATGGCGTGCTGCAGGGCACTGTTGCGATTTCTTAAAGAAACGGGATTAGACTGTAGGATTTAGTTGTTAGTAGGTGTTGTTTAGGTTTATTTACTTAGTTGTTTATCCATGTATGTGTATATATATATATATATGTGTATATATGTGTGTATATATATATATATATATATATATATATACATATAT